AGAAACTGATGTCTTCTTGCGTTGAGAACAAGAATCATATGTATTTCTGGACATCTTAATTAAGAATGATATATTACCATGGGAGTCAACAGAAATACATTAAGAAGGCTAATTGGGCATAGGGTTAAAATCCATAACCCTGACTTCTTTTAAGTGATACTTGGCTAAACAAAATAGAGATACAGAGATAGATTTTGATTGTTTGTGTTCCAGACCTTAAAAACATGAAATAAAAGAACTTCAGTATGTTTTAAACCTAATTTGAATAACATGTCTATAATGTGTCAAAATCCACAAAAGAGCAATATTGGCTTCGTCAGGCAAAAATGTTAAAAATAATTCAGAAGAAGAAATGTGATGATGGAATAACATGCCTATATTTTGTCTCATATGTTGCTTATATTGTCAGTTAAGACTGTATGGAAGAATTTCAGAGCAGCCATTGACCACTCCTTTTCTTGGCAATATGAGAATTGAGGACAAAGGGCAATTAAATGGAGGCGATCTTATTTATTCTGGAAAAAATCAATTTATTTGGAGCATATTCTGTGCTTACAATAATTTTGACAAAACAAAATTGCTGACTGAAAAAGAGAGTAATGAATTAACCGTGTTTTGCCATTTTACACTGGAAAAGGGGGATTAAATATCTGGAAGTCACTATTACAAAACATAAGTATCTATTATTGGAAAATAACAGTGATAAAGTTTGGGACAAATTAAAAGAAATTTGGAAAAACTGGAAAAGTTCAGTGACCCATTTAAAGTAGAATTGCAGTGATAAAAGTGTGCTGCAATTTGGTGTAAATATAATCAGTGATAATATTAGCAGGAAACATTTTTTAAAGGAAAACGGGTTACAAACGAGGTGGTGGCTTTATGGTGATCCTTTGGACTATGAACAAGATAACTGAAAGTTTAAATCAAAATATGGTTTTTAGGGGCAATAAAACTGAATTGGTTTGTTAATATGCAACTTAAGGACAGATGTAACCATGATAACTAAAATGCAGCCACAGAGTTTGGAGAAAATGAGTTGTATTTAGAGTTGTATAAATATGATGATATTAGGGATAGAATATGAACTTGGGAAAGAGTACATGATAATGTGGGCCCAAATTTTTGGGCATAATACTTATATGATTGTAAAGGGAAAATATGGTCCAAAAATATAAATTTATCATGTGCAGTAATGTCAAAGGAAACGTGTATAAGATGGTGTGCAAAGAGTATCTAACTTGCAAAAAACTAGCAAAGATAGTCCTGAATTTTTCCCATCAGTGTTGGGAAAGTTAAGATAAGGATGGTTCTTTTAATATGTGGTGGATTTGCAGGAATGTGAAAAGATACTGGTGTAAAATTTATACAGTCGACCATCAACTTTAATGGGTTTTTCCTTCAAGAATTACATTATTTGTGGTTTTGTGGTTGCCTCCATGGTGAGTCTATAAGCTTCCCATCACCTCCTAGGATGACGGCACTGCTGCCAAAGTCTTCTGTAGTATTATCATCTTTCCCATCCTCCATTTCTCTGTCTCCCTTTCCAGCCTATACCTAGGTCCTTACTTCCCACCTTTCCTGACTTGTCATATGATGCCTTCACTTTGCTTTCGGGCTGCCTCTGCCACAAGTCTTGGGTTGTGTTTCTCAGCTTAATACAATACTCCAGCCACTACATCACACTGCTTCTTGCTGGAGCCAGTTCTCACTGGAGACTAGGTAGTTTAGGCTTTTTAAACCTTTCCACTCATGACCCCTTTTGGCCTGAGACATTTTTATGTGCCCCTGTGAAAATGGGTATATAAGATATATAAATCAGACATTTGCTGATAAACATGTTGATTTCCCTTTTTATGAAGTACAGCTGAAGCATCTTCTGCAGAGTCCCCTGTAAACAATACACAACGGATTCATGTAAATGTCTAAAACAGTCACTAGGCAACATTCAGTACATTTTTATTGTTGCCAGAATTTTTAGGATCCCAACTTTGAGCTAAGGACTTGGGACCCATACTTTTTGTAGGCCATCAACATGTTTTTTTCTCTTCCAGCCCTCTCCAGGCTAAAGGATCAACTCCACATTATCTTACGTGTCTGATCATTCCATTTTATCCTACTCTAAGCAGGAGCATTGCTTGGATATACACAGACTGGGGAACCTGCACCTGCCCAAGTTTAGCTTGGAAGACCAAGCAGGGAGGAGTGAGCTGTCTGTTATATTTTTAAAAAATCAGGTAGCAACCCATTGTCACAAAAGTTTGCAGTCTCTTGTACAAATGCTCTCTTCCATGTCTCCCTGCTTGGTTTGGCTAGCAGGCAACAAAATGCTGCTGCCTACAGGAAAGCTGCAATGACACAAGAACTCTGCACCTGGAGTAGTGGAGGGGGTGAAGGAAGATGGCCTAGATGGGGAAGAGGTGATGGAGTGTGAGGGATGGAAGTGGCTTGTGAGTGAAGAATAGTGCCAAGTCAAGAAAGGAGATGGAAAGGAGAATAGGGAGAAGAACAACGCTGCATTATATTTTTAGAACAGTGCTCTCATCTTAGGAGGCAATGTAGTTGTGGCGAAGGCAGCCTTGGAGCAAGGCAGAGATTTTTGGAGCAGTAGTCAGCATGCGTGGTTGGGGGGCTTAAAATAGTCAAGTTTTTTCCCCACTTTTAATATTCATGAAGGCTGAAGGAAAATTGCAAGTTACTGTAAGTAACCTCATGTATAGGGTGATTGCAGGTTTTGTATAAAAAAAATATGCATTTTGATATGAACCATGAATACATTAAGGGTCATTCTTTAGTAGTGGTTCTCAAAGTGTGCTCCGTGGAGCCATTGGGGCTCCATGAAGCATACTGAATGTCTCTGCAGTTACCTCCTCCTCCCTCCTTTTCCTCTCTAGTCTTTCCCCCTTGCCTCCCTCACCCCCCAAAAGCCTTTTTTTCTCACCTTCCTCACCACCCAGATCCTTTTCCCTTTGCCTTGCTTGCTTCCAAAACCCTATTTCCCTCCCACCCCTGAGGGGATGTTTGATTTTGCTTTTACTGCATGGCAGAAGAGAGTTGGACTTGAAGGCCCCCAGGGTTGCTCCTCTTCCTCCTCTTCTTCCAAAGGCTGAATGGCCATCTGTTGGGGGTACTTTGATTGTGCTTTTCCTGCTTAGCAGAAAGGGGTTGGACTAGATGATCCCCGGAATATATGCCTCTGAAATAGTCAAGTTTATGCTGGTCAAAAAGTTTGCACATGCCTGAGATAGATAGACAGACAGACACACACACACACACACACACACACACACATACACACACTTGTTTCTTGGGGCTCCATGAGAAACTTTAACTTCAAAAATGGCTCCATGGCTGAAAAACTTTGAGAACCCCTGTTCTACAGAGTAGGGAAAGCACTAATGCTATTGCCACTGACTGCCACCACCTTTTCCCTACCCAGGCATTCAGAAAGACCAGCAAAGAGAGTAGAGGAAGTCAGTGCTTCTTAGATTATTCTGTGATGGACTAAGCTTTAGTATTTTCCCCCTTTACTTAGAGAAAGGGGTGGTTCCTTTCTAATGAGTTAGGGCACCATACTTAAACTGACCTTTGGATAAATTGAGCCATTTTTCGGTGTTATTTTTTTAGAGTAAAATCTCTCGACTTACGCATGAGGATAATCTGCAAAATCTTAAAGGTAGATTTTGTAAGCTGTATCTTTTTCATTATGCATAAAGAACTGGACTGTAAAATGTATGACTTTTTCAATACACAACAGCAGCAGCAACAATATTGTTTGCTCATGTTGGAAACAGAGCGAAGCATGGGAGAATGGATTGCTAACGTCTCTGAGTTAGCCCCAATTACCAAATTATTGTGGATTGTGAAGGATAAGCCAATCAAAGACTTTCTGAAAGATTGGCAATCATTTATAGACTTTGAGCTAACTCTGTAATTAATTAATAGGATATATTTAGTCTAAATATATTTTCCTTTTTTTCCTAGCTAGGTTGGGGGAGAGTCAGAGTACTACTATGTTTTAATTATGTTTTTCTTCCTTTTATTCTTTTATTCCTTCTGTCTTTTCATGTTTTCTGAATGTACATTGCTTTCTTTATGAATTGATTTGTTAGTATTAACAACCAATCAATATTTTTATAAGACGGTTTTCAAAATTTCTACTCCATTAGCAACTGAAAAATAACTTCCCTTGAAATCCAGGCCATCCCTGTCCTGTGCAAAATTAAGTGCCTTTTAGTTTTGCAATGAAACATTTCATCTATATAAATAAAAATGTAATGTTCGTGTGTGGGATTAACATAACTCAAAAACCACTGGGCGAATTGACACCAAATTTGGATACAACACATCTATCAGGCCAATGAGTGACCATCACCCATAAAAAACACTAGAAAACACAGTGGAAGAGACTAAAAGCCAAAAAATAAAAATACATTACAACACATGCACAAAACCATATATATACACACACAAAACACATATACACAGACTGGGCCACAGCAACGCGTGGCAGGGGACAGCTAGTTTCTCAATAAATCCCTGTATTACTATGTCTAGAAAAATGTTTAGATGCTGTATAGGTAAACCTTGTGGCCTTAAAACCTAAGGGGACCAGATCCTGTCTGATCTTCAAATCTGAGCTGGGTAAAATCTGGCTTGTACCTGGATGGAAGACTGCCAATGAAAACCAGGCACATTAGGCTGCATTTTAAAGGAAGACATTGGTTAAGCCAGCTCTTATTTACTACATAAGAAAATTCTATGAAATTCATAGGGTCACTGTAAGTTACCAGGGATCTTGAAGACAAATGCATGTGTGTGTGTGCGCGCTTATGTGTCTCATGTCTGTGTATATACACACATATACATACACACAAACACACACATAGGTAAAATTTATGATCTACATTCTACGAACATCAGGTACCTCTCCAAAACATTCTTCTAAATTTATATATTTAAAATGTGAGCTTTGAAACATCTGAAGTTATCTTCTTTTTTAGAGTGATCGTCTGCTCATCAAGGGAGGAAAGATTGTCAATGATGACCAGTCGTTTTACGCCGACATCTATGTGGAAGATGGTTTGATTAAGTAAGTTGTTTTTGGGGGTTTTTTTTATTAGTTGTTTAGGCTTGTTTTAAATTTTTATAGCACTGTTATGTGTAGTCCTATGTGTTCTATCCAATTTAAATTGCTTTCTGAGTTCTTTTAATTGGGATAAAATTATTTTAATGAGAATAAAACCAAAACTTGAAGGGATAAAAGCACATCAGTCTCAATGTCAATATACATTGACATGAAACATATGTTATACTGTTGCATGTTAGCGTGTCCAATATGTAAAGACCAGTAGTTTTAGTGCTGAATAATTTGATGCGCACTTTAGAACTTGCGGCATGAATATTTATTTAAATATCTGTATTGATCACTCATCTTGCCCTTTTATAATGTTTGGAGACATGGAAGTGAATGCATTTGCATGTTACAATAAGCCATGGTTTGTGTCAATCATGATATGTTGCTTGAACCACAGATTGAACAGCAATCAACTAAGCAAAGCATAACTTGTCTTACCTATTTCTGATTTGCTTCTCTTCGCCCCTCTTGCCAAATCTAGTTAACGACTAGGCAGCTGAGAAGATAAACCAAGGAGAGTTGTGGGTGCAGAAGTTATAAATGTCATGATTTGTACAATAAGCCAGAATGTGTAAAACAACAATGGGGACCATAGCTCATCCTTCTTGTTTGGATGGGGACCATAGCTCATCCTTGTTTAGGAGAATTGGATCCACATACCACAACAAGGACTTGGACTGCGAGAAGATCCAACCAGTCCATACTTCAGGAAATAAAGCCCGACAGCTCATTGGAGGGAAGGATAGTAGAGGCAAAGATGAAGTACTTTGGCCACATCATGAAAAGACAGGAAAGCTTAGAGAAGACAATGATGCTGGGGAAAATGGAAGGAAAAAGGAAGAGGGGCCGACCAAGGGCAAGATGGATGGATGGCATCCTTGAAGTGACTGGCTTGACTCTGAAGGAGCTGGGAGTGGTGACAGTCAACAGGGAGATCTGGCGTGGGCTGGTCCATGAAGTCACGAAGAGTCAGAAATGACTGAATGAATGAACAACATCACAAGAAGACATATTTAATCAACCTACATATATTGTGACTTTTTGTAGCATGCAAGTATATTTTTCACAATGCTTGACATTTAATAATGTTTTTGAGCTGAGGGCCTTATATGAAAGCTGTATAAAATAGAACACATATAACACATGTGCAAATCAGATTGAAATGTCAGGAAAATGATGCATTGTTAAGGCTGGTTTTGAAATGTGTTAAAAGAAACATATCTATAATTTGGTATCCGGCTCTCTTTGCTTCTTGGTTAGTGTGATAAAATCACTGTTGTGGAAGGCATGTCAGTAAAATGTAACTGTGAAGCTTAAAAATGTTTTCCCTAAACCAGTACCATGAACATTGAAACACAGTGGGTTTGATCTAGATTTACTTGGTCTGATATGCACTTACTTCATCTATAATTTGTAAATATTGTTTCCCGTTGTCTCTTGCAGGCAAATTGGTGAAAATCTAATTGTCCCTGGAGGTGTAAAAATGGTTGATGCTTATGGCCAACTAGTTATGCCAGGTGGGATAGATGTCCACACTAGATTACAGATGCCAGTGATGGGAATGACCTCTGCTGATGACTTCTATCAAGGCACAAAAGCAGCTCTTGCAGGAGGAACCACAATGATATGTATGTATTCTCTTTAGTGTGGGTTGCACATGTCCTGTATAAGAATAGGAAAGTTGGTTATTGCAAAACCTCAACTTTCCATCACACATTAAGAAGCCATGTTTGTCTCCACGTACTTTTGGGTTGGGTGGAAATGCTCATAATGAAAGTATAGCACACAATCAACGTATTGTGTAATTGTTATGCGGGTTGTGGTGCCACATCTATTGGCCCACTCAGATACAACATCACAGTGTCCAAAGTGTGGATTAGATACATTTGAGCCATATAAAAATACCGATGTCAGAGATGAAAAAATTCAGGGTGACCCATGAGCGCATAAGGTCTACCATCCACCTTCATGTTTTCTCTGACATTCCACTGAAGGCTCAGGATACAATTGGCTATTGAAATGCTCCAAAATCTTCCATTTAAATTCCTCAACTGAATATAAGTAAGGTATGTGCCCCAGAGTTACCTGTGTGGAAGGGTCTTTAGACATCTTAAGTGTCAGTGTAGAACCACCCTTTTGCAAGAAGCATTTAGAATTTGTTTACCGTTGCCTTTCTCCAGGTATATCTTAAAGTAGTGCTACTGAATGTAGAGGTCTCTAGACTGGGATTGTGCCCTGGTCAACATTCCAGGAAAGAAAAAAAGTGTACCCAGTGGGCACCCTGGAAAACAGCAATTTCCAGTCTTACACATCAGATAGCCTGAGAAGTATTAGTCTACAGCAACTTGCATTCTCTTGCTCTCTCACTACCAGATGTTAACCTGGCCTGAACCTACTTAGCTTCTGAGATCAGATGGGATCTGATGCTTTCAGGATCCAAACAGAAAAAACAATGCAAAGTGACAGCCAAATTTGCACAGTGTCTTTCTGTACATTTCAAACTGTTACTGCTCTACTGTATTTTCATATTTTTCTTTTTTTTCCAAATAGCATCTTGATAGTTAGACTTTCTAAATATATCTCCAGTTATTGGAAAACCTTGATGATACATATTATTTGGGGAAAAGATCTTATATTCTTGTTTTGAAATAAATTGTTTTTATTTTATGTTTACAGTGTATACATTTTCCTCCATCCATAAGGGTTTTGATGGCACCCTTTGTATCTTTATAATATTTTTGACAACAAAATATTAACAAAACAAGAGTAAGAAAAGCTATTCAACTAGCAAATTGATCAACCATCAACCAAAAAAGTGCTTTAGCCTACATCCTATTATTATACTAGAGTAGAGCCATTGAGCCATTGGTATTTAAACAAGTATTGTCCTGTAAATTCAGGAAAATAAAGCAAAATCAGTACCAACAATATTTCTGACTCGATGACATTCCAAAATTAGGGTGCCCCTCATGGAAGACCCATTGTTTTAAAAACACATAATGCTTTTTTTCCACTGACTGGACTTTCAGACATGCCTTCCTTGAAGAACAGACTGCATTGGCAGTATGACATAGGAAATAAATCATAATTTTATTTCTCCAGTGGATCATGTATTTCCCGAGTCCGGAGCAAATTTGCTGACTGCATATGACCAATGGAAAGAGTGTGCTGATAGTAAAGCGTGTTGTGATTATTCTTTGCATATTGACATCACACGTTGGCATGAGAGCATAAAAGAAGAGTTGGAGGCTCTTGTCAAAGACAAAGGTAAGATTGCAGTTTATACAAACTGAGCGGTGACTTTATGGCTGTATTAGTTTTAAATTTATAAAAGAACAACCACATTAATCTTGAGCTCTAAGATGCTATCTGATGGGGATAGTATAGCAGCTTCACAGGAAAAAATTCAGAGAAGGCAAACTCATGGTTTGTGACAAGATATATTTGTTGTTTTTTAAAAAGAATAATTTAATCATAAATAGTTTTTCTCCTCCATTAATGAAATATGTGTTTTGGGAATTTGCGATGTAAGGCAGTGTTGGCAGGTTATAAAAGATTTATTAGCTCCCATATTGCATGCAATGCAATGAAAAATGTTATTTTTCCTTGCATTGTATGCAATATGGGAGCTAATAAATCTGCAGTGAAAAATAATAAGTGTTAAATCTAAAACCTCTTAATATTCAGTACTCATGCTATGGAATATCAAAAGCAGCCTTTCAAACTGAATTGATCCCTAGATAAATATTGCAGTAGGGGTATCATGCTAGACAAATTGTAATAGTTTGACACAACTTTAATTGTTACGGTTTCATCACATGTAGTCTGAAGGCTTTTAGTTCCTTCAGTTATAAAGTCTCTATTGATACCTTTTCCACAAAGAATTTTAAGTCTATCACAAAACTACAAATCCCAGGATTCCATAGGAAGTAATAATAATAAATAATACATCTTTATTTGTACCCCACCACCATCTCTCCAGGGGGAGTCGGGGAGGCTCACAGAAGCACTATGATGCCGCATCTGGATCACAATACACAGTATACAAGTACACAAATATATAACATAAGCATAAAAGCAACAATGTACATAAAATCCCAGTAAAAATAGTGGGTTGTTGTAGTTTTTTTGTGCTGTATGGCCATGTTCTGTATGGCCATGTTCTAGAAGCATTCTCTCCTGACGTTTCGCCTAAGTATTTCCATATTGAGGACCTTCTAGGAAACAATCTGAATGCTCACATAGTAAATGTGATGCCAAGCACAGATAAGTTGCCAGTGTGGTTTTGGTATTTCTTCCTACTACTTAGGTTGCTAGTCAAAAGATCCACTCACAAGAGCTCATTTTGTCCATTGTCTGTAGGAATTCCAGTTGGAGATTCCATAAGTTCTCATTTAGATTGGGCTCCTTTATAGTGTGAAAGATGCTCCAGTTTGCTGGGATTCCAAAGTGCACACATAAGACTGAGACAGAAAATGAAAATGATGTGAAAAGATGGAATGGAATCCCAAGGAACCCGTATTGGATCAAATGAAGAACACTGCCCTTTGCAAGGAGTGTTCACCGTATTTTTCATAGAATCATAGAGTTGGAAGAGATCACACAGGCCATCCAGTCCATCCCCCTGCCATGCAGGAAAAGCACAATCAAAGCACCATTTGTTACTATTGTTATAGATATCGTTGCTGATGCTCACTATTCACAGTGCCACATATTAATCATATCCAGTGCAATACAATGATGATGATGATGATTATCTTTATTTATACCTCACATTTCTCCCCATGAGGACTCAAGGTGGCTAACAACCCACACCAGACAAGTTTAGAAAGAGCAAATACAAAAGTTTAAAAACAATTAAATAGTAACAGTGTAGCAAAAACAGAATTAAAATACAGTAAATACACAAAAACAGTATTTAAAACTCATATCCTCCCAATCCCATCCAACTTTCCCACAGCCTGCCCCTTCCCCAAATGATTATCTTTGGCCCATGGTTATTATTACTATTGTTCACAGTTACTCACTAATTACTGTTATGTACTGTTACAAAAACATACGGTTCATCCTAAAGTCCACATAATTAACACTGCTCCAAACTATTCTCGCCACATGGAGTTGTAGCATGATGGAGCTGGGCATACATTTGAACTCATTTGAAAAGGCCTATAGTAACGGCATTTTTCTGAGTAAGCAAGTTAATTTTTTTCACAGCAGCCATACAGTTCAGCATCATTTTTCGGATTAAAACCTACCCTAAGCCTAGATCAGCTTTGATTCAGAAAGTTGTCCGTGTATGTTACTTGGTGGTCTCACTTCAGTTATAGTCATTAATTCACCTCTGTTTTTGTTAAGGTGTGAACTCTTTTCTTGTCTTCATGGCTTATAAAGACAAACTCCAGTGCACTGATGCTCAGGTAATTATTATGAACATAAGAGGCCAAACAAACAAACCAAGAAACTTCATAAGCTTCTGGTTCTGGAAATGTATTTTATCTCCCTTTCTTTCTTGGCAGATGTATGAGATATTCAGTATTATTCGAGATCTGGGCGCCATTGCTCAAGTACATGCTGAAAACGGAGACATCATTGATGAGGTGGAGTAAATCCTCACTTCTCTGTAATTACATAAAATTTAAGAAATGAAGTTGCATGGCAGTGAAACTGAGTAAAGTCTTACATGTTTGGGAATACAGTCAGAACTAAATTCATTGATCGGTGGGATCACAGCCAAACTGAATGGATATAGTACTGGATTGTTGTAGGTTTTTTTGGGCTATATAGCCATGTTCTAGAGGCATTCTCTCCTGACGTTTCACCTGCATCTATGGCAAACATCCTCAGAGGTAGTGCTATCGCAAGCACCTCTGAGGATGCTTGCCATAGATGCAGGCGAAACGTCAGGAGAGAATGCCTCTGGAACATGGCCATATAGCCCAAAAAAACCTACACAACCCAGTGATTCTGGCCATGAAAGCCTTCAACAATACATTGGATATAGTACTGGCAGTTACTGTATTTTCTGGCATATAATACTACTTTTTAACCCAAGAAAATCTTCTCAAAAGTCAGGGGTCGTCTTATACACCAGGTATCATTTTATAGGGTGGGTACTGAAACTTCCGAGACAGACTGGAGAATCTGCAGTCGCCGCATATGGTGGGGGGAGCTCAAAAACGGCCTCAGCCGCATCCTTGACGTATGCAGTGACCATATGAAAGTAGCAAGGGCAGCATTGTAGAAGTATGGTAGAAGAAAATCCACTCACCAGGATTTATGGAAGGAAGCCACTTAATGAGATCCCAATGACGAAGTGAGGGGGTGCCTCACCGGGAAGGTGTAAGTGAAGGGCGGAGCAGGGTGCAGGTGTCCGGGACGCCCAGGGTATGGAAAAAAGAAATAGAGCGCTCAGAAAAACATGCCTCTTTCACCCGTCTGGCCTGCCCTTGTATCCTATTATCGTACCTCCTTCTCTGCCTCTCAGATCTCGTTCCTGAGGACTGCAGTGAAGTGGCGCAGGCAGGCATGTGTGAGATCTGAGAAGCAGAGAAGGAAGTACAGTAATAAGAACATTGCCATATTGAAATCAAATCTGATGTTTTTAAATTTTTTATTTGCTGTGCATTGGAAGAGGGGTAGTCTTATACGGCGAGTATATCCCAAACTCTATATTTTAACTGGAAAAGTTGGGAGTCGTCTTATATGCCCAGTCTTATACACCGGAAAATATGGGTACATTTGTTGTCTGGCAGCTCAGCAGTTTATCATTGTGATTTATCTTTGAAGTTGCATACACGTTTGTAAACTGAGACTACTCTTTTACTTAGTTTATGAAAGTATATGCTATCAACTTCCATCTCTAAGTTAGTATCTAAGATGCTACAAGATCCCTTGACCATTCCAGACTAGCCGAGCTATGTCTTTGAATTCTGAATAAAACATATGAGTGTTTTTAAAAGTCATTTCTACTTGCTGCCATGACATTGGCGTCTCTTGCTGTCACCACTGGTGCAAGGATAACATCATCCAAATTAGATGAAGGCCAGCTTTCTTTATTCAGGGACAAGAGTTGTTTTGCTCCGTTTGTCTGCAGAGCTCTGTGATGCTGGCAGATGTTCTGGCACTATCTTGTATCATGGAGTACCACCATGATGCTGCTGAAATGGCAAACATTTAAGTAATCATGGTATCATGACAATATTGCCTCCAATAGGAATAGGCCAGTCTAATATAGCCTTTCTCCTAGGACCACTGACTGAAAGGTCTGTAGTTTGAATCTGGGGAGTCGGGTGAGCTCCCATCAGTCAGCTCTAGCTTCCCATGCGGGGACATGAGAGAAACCTCCCACAGGATGGTAAAACATCTGAGCGTCCCCTGGGCAATGTCCTTACAAACGGCCAATCTCTCACACCAGAAGCGATTTGCAGTTTCTCAAGTCACTCCTGACACACACACACAAACAAAACAAAACCAAACAAAAACTACTGGTTAATTTGAGGCATCATACATTGAACACATGATCCTGTCCATTCAAGCATGTGTACTGCTATCAAACTAACCTTTTCCCCCTTACTAAAGCACCACATTTCTAACACTTTTGGCTTTAATGAGGCAAACTGCAACCTAATTCTGCTTCCTGAATGCTTAGAGGAGAGTTTTTGAACTGCATCACTGCTCTTTGGGGACTTTGATGTAGAAGATCAAGATGGATAAAGATACTAGATGGACTACTACTTATGCATATTTAATCAGCTAGATTACACGAGAAGCCAACTTTTTCCTTTGGCAATCTTTGTGCCTGTCATTAGCGTTTTCCTCTCATTTTTCTTTCTTTCGAATGGTCCCTCTAGTCTAGCACTTTGCCCTAAAACAGAATATTTGTAGCATCTTAAACAGAAATTGCTGTTCAGGTTTCCCTGTAAACCACTAATAAGCATTTCACAAGATGCTTTGTTCTGCTACTGAATTCCCCATCATATGAGGAAATCAGCAACTGTAGTTATCATGGGTATAGTTTTGCTTTAAAGATCGTATTCTGAAGCTTCAAAGCAGAATTTAAATATACTTTTAGTGCTTTTGATTTATTGTTTCTTCTACTTCCTCTTTTAGGAGCAAAAAAGACTGTTGGAATTGGGGATTACTGGTCCAGAGGGTCATGTTCTCAGTCATCCTGAAGAGGTAACTTGAGCTTAAAAGAAAAATTTGTAGCTTTAGAAAAGTAGGATCAAATTGGTAGATGCTGCTAAGTGTTAGCTTCACACATACCATATCTTTTATTGGATCGACTTCAGAAGTGACAAAGCTTGAAGTTTCTGAAAGTGTGTTTCCCTTCTCTTCTCCCCTCTCCCCTCACTGTAAAAAGTTTACTGAGTCTAAGTACTGAATTATACATTAAGAAGTACTACATGGTACAAATATAGTGTTATATCATTTTGGACCGAAGGTGGGAATCAAGTTTCCATATTTCCTTATACAGAAAGCCAGCACATCAGGAAAAACACTGTCATCTAGTCTTTTCCTAATGTAGTAGCATTCAATACAAGGTTGGTGTGGCCCTCAGTGAAAATGAATTTGACACCTCTTCTAGATGATTCTACGGTAGCGTAATGGGATTAAACTGCTGAGCTACTGAACTTGTTGACTGGAAGGTCGGCGGTTTGAAAAATAATAATACACTTTGCGGCTTTGATGATGCAAATGGATAAGGAGTCGAACTGGTAGACATTAACTATTATAGTTTTAATTGGTTTTATATGGATTTTTATTATGTGATATTAAATGTTTTTAATTGATATGTATGTATATATGCTTATGGCATCTAATTGTTGCCAATCTGTATGCTGCCCTGAGTTGCCTTTGGGCTGAAAAGAGCGGGATAAAAATGCTGTAAATAAATAAGTATTCTGCCCTTCTCCTTTAAATGACTCAGAGTGGATTATAACATTTACAATAGACATAGGCAAATATTCAATGCCTTTACAATCACATACAATGAGACACACAAACACAGACAAAGGCAAAGGCTTCTCCTTTCATTTCCGGCTTCTGGAGGTGATGCTCATCTCTGGCTCTGAGGAAGGGGGGGGAGGTGCTTTTCTTCATTTTCAAGCCTCCACCCTTCTCCTTAGGGGACTCAGAACAAATTACAACATTTACAATAGACATAGACAAACATTCAATGCCTTTACAATCACATACAGCGAGACACACAAACGCAGACAAAGGCAAAGGCTTCTCCTTTCATTTCCAGCTTCTGGAGGTGATGCTTATCTCTGGGGGAGGTGCTTTTCTTCATTTTCAAGCCAAGGAGCCTGCATTGTCACCTCCCAGTCATGTGGCTGGCAAGACTTCTTGGCACATCTTTTGCCTTTTTCCATTGAAGCGGTACCAATTTATCTACTCACTTTTGCTTCTTCTCAAACTGCTAGGTTGGCAGAAGGATTGAGTTTTGCTCCGTAACTAGCACTTTGTGTTCTTCTTCCAGACTTCAACAGTTCTGGGGGGATCTCAGACCTAAGAATGATTCCAGCTTGAGGTGGATAACTTTTTCCTCTCAGCTGCAGAATATAGTCCTTGTATGCATCACATAAATGCAGAGAGTATGGATTCTCCAACTCTCACCACCCCAGAGAGTGAACAAAGGCGAGAGCACCATGCATTCCAAAGCACACTCACTTATACTCCACCGCGTGTGGCCCAAACTTATTGGCCACCTGCATATAATGACCGCCGGATGGGGTGAGCTCCCTCTGTTATCCCCAGCTCCTACCAACCTAGCAGATTGAAAACATGCAAATGTGAGTAGATAAATAGATACTGCCTCAGCGGGAAGGTAAACGGCACTCCGTGCAGGCATGCCAGCCACACGACTATGGACAATGCAGGCTCTTCAACTTGGAAATGAAGATGAGCACCTTCCCCAGAGCTGGAGATTAAGGGGAAACCTTTGCCTTTGTTTGTGTATCTGTTTCATTGTTTCAAGGCATTGAATGTTTGCCTGTGTCTGTATATGCTAGAATTTGCCCTGAGTCCTCCCCTTGGGCAGATAGGGCGGAATACAAATAAAGTGTTACTATTATGTTATTGTTATTATTATAGAGATGAAAGCTTGAACAACTATTTTTGGATTACAGTTCCTAGAATCCCCTAACCAATGACCTGCTAGCTTGGAATTCTAGGAGTTGTGGTCAAAAATACCTTTACCAAGCTCTGCTGTTCAGCTTCACTTGCAAACGTGCTAATTAGGAACTAAGCCTCTTTGAAAGCAAGTGATACACTTCCGAATAAGCGTGTGGATACCATTCATACTTTCAAATACCCACAGTAATTATTGTCTGACTAAATTATTTATAACTTTTAAAAGCACTGTAATGCAATGCCAACTTCCCCATATTTTCCTGGAGCCACAGTTTCTCTACATAATTCAATTATGACAAAAAATACTGCATACAATAAGCAGCACACTCCATCATTCTGGTAATCTATGCCATAGTCTCTAGGCATAGCACTTTAGCTGAAAAAATATTTTGCAGAAAGTATCTGACTGTATTCATGTTTCTCAAGGTTGAAACGGAAGCAGTGTACCGTGCTATTACAATAGCGAAACAAGCCAATTGCCCTTTATATATCACAAAGGTCATGAGCAAAGGGGCTGCCGATGTCATAGCCCAAGCCAAGAGAAAAGGTAGGTGCCATTTCATATTTATTATATGGATGCGGAATAGCTGCTTGTCTGTGTATGTACTCCTCCAGGAAGCCTCACTTGTGCAGAAGTTATTGGATAGGGCTGAGGAAAGTGCAAAATCCGATAAGAGGCAGGCTGGAAGAATAATATCCTTTGGCATTAAAATGTCAGGATTATATGGCAGAGGACAGTACTAAAGTGCAGGAGCTGTTTGTAAGTTAGGGTCAAATTATCTGGTGGACTGCTAAATCATAGTCACAGTGGAACATCCACATTTTTAGGTCCTTGCAAAAAGCGGACAGGGTGGGTGCCGGTCTAATCTCCCTAGGGAGAGAATCCAGAGCCAGGGGGCAACCACCAAAAAGGCCCTTTCCCTCGTCCCTACCAATTGTGCTTGAGATCGAGGTGGAAGCGAGAGAAGAGCCTCCCAGAAGATCTCAGGACTTGCGCTGGTTCGTAGGGGAAGATGTGATCACGAAGATAGGGCTTTGTAGGTGATAACCTGCACCTTGAGTTGGGACCGGAAATTTATCAGCAGCCAGTGGAGCTGTTTAAATAGGGGGGTTGACCACTCTCTGTAACTTGTTCCAGTTAGTAATCTGGCTGCTGACCTTTGCAGCAACTGTAATTTCTGGGCTGTCTTCAAAAGGAGCCCCATGTAGAGTGCATTACAGTAATCCAATCTGGAAGTAACTAGGGCATGGACCACTGTGGCCAAGCCAGACTTCATGAGGTACAGGCACAGCTGGCACACATCTTTATTTGTGCAAAGGCCCTCCCGGCCACTGCCGACACCTGAGCATCAAACACCAATGGTGAATCCAGGAGGACTCCCATACTGCAGACCTGTGTTATCAGGGGGAGTGTAACCCCATCAAGCACAGGTTGCCACCCTATACTCTGATTGGCCACACAACTGACTTGGAGGACCTCTATCTTGTCAGGAGTAAGCTTCATCTTGTTAGCCCTCGTGCAGTCCATCACAGTGGCCAGGCACTGGTCCAGGATTCAGGAGGCTTCCTTGGAATTAGGTGGAAAGGATGGTCATGGCTGATCTCTCTCTCTCTCTCTCTCTCTCTCTCTCTCTCTTTCTCTCTAGGCACTGTTGTATATGGGGAGCCTATCACCGCCAGCCTTGGTACCGATGGCTCACATTACTGGAGTAAGAACTGGGCCAAAGCAGCTGCTTTTGTGACCTCTCCTCCCCTTAGTCCAGATCCCTCCACACCTGATTACCTCACCTCGCTCTTAGCATGGTAAGTCATCAAGGAAAAAAGTTCCCTTTCCATGAATGATCACAGCAAAGGTACATAACAGGTAAAATAAGAAAAGCTTGAGATTGTTCCGAAAGGACATTTACATTTCTATATTTGGACTGCAGCAACTGTGGATCGAGGTTTTTTCTCTCTGAAAGGGTGATGAACAGTCTTTAGACATAGTCACACAATGTGTGTGGGCATCATTTTCAGAAGGTTGAATCTTGTATTGCCGAGCCTACTTTAGATGGAAATAACAAATGAGAGATCATTCAGACTGCAGAATTATAACAGTTGGAAACTACTTTAACTTCCATGGCTCCATCCTTTAGAATCCTTCAATTTGTAGCCTGTTGTGTGGCTCCAGAGTTCTCTGATAGAGAAGGATAAATACTTCACAAAACTACATATTCCAGAATCCCATAGCATTGATCCATGGCTGTTAATGTGGTGTCAAACTCTTAAGATTCAGTGTCTTGTATGGAATGCGTGCCAGCCACTCCAAATCTGCTCGAAAAGTAGGCCTCAACAGCAAAAGCACACTCCTCACTGTTCCAACGCATGATGGCGACTGAACTGTGTCAGGACAAAACTTTATACTCCCGCCTCTCGAACGAGACCACTAGCGCTCCGCTACGTCTTCAACCGACTGAATGGTGCGGATTTTAAAAAAGGAAGTTATGCTGCCTCACCCTGTTCTGTTATTTTGACTTCCTGTTTTATAAATATTTGATACAATGGAAACATGTAGCATCTAGAGCAGAGTTCCTCAAACTATGCTCCTCCATATGTTTTGGACTTCAGCTCCCACAATTCCTAACAGCTGGCAAACTGGCTGGGATTTCTAGGAGCTGAAGTCCAAAACACCTGAAAGAGCAAATTTGAGAAACACTGATATAGAGTAAGGCAAAAATGAGGCTGCATTCCTGAAGAGCTTTTATTGGCCCTTTCTACACTGCTACATAAAATCCAGATTATCTGCTTTGAACTAGATTATATGGCAGTGTAGATTCATATAATCCTGTTCAAAGCAAATAACTATCAACTGCTTTGATAGTCTGGATTATATGGCAGTGTAGAAGGGGCCATTTTAAACCAGTCTTGTAGGGATTAGAACTATGAGTGATGGTCTTAAATCTATTAACACAAAACAGTGCTTGTAAGGCTTGTATATTAAAAAGGAGAATAAATATTGATTTCCTAATCCCTGACTCCACTAAATCAGATTTGTAAATGGCTATATGATGAATAATAATGTTTTAAATGTATTTTAATCTAATTTTTTATCTTTTGTATCATGTTGTTTGAAATGTGTTTTTGTATATTGTCGGCATCAAATTGCTGCCGTTGTAAGCCGCCCTGAGTTCCCCTCGGAGGTTGAGAAGGACGGGGTAGAAATGTTGGAAATAAATAAATAAATTGTAGTCCTAGTGTCTTTTTAAAAATGGAGCAATTATAAAGCCATTTGTAGTGTTGCTAGGGCACAGAATCACAGGCTATGTTGATCTTTGGATAGAGATCAGTGGCAGTCCCTGCTCCAGTTTTTTTGAGATGTTAAGCTGCAGTGACATTCAGCTTGCCATCTTCAATTTTGGAACTCAACATAATTATAAATGTGACAGCGTCAAAACCGATGATGAATACACACTTGGCAGTCTGTTTCCTGTACTTTTCTAGTCCTTGTTGAGTGTTGTCTTCCAGTTGTCTAGATCAGGAATGCCTTGGCTGATTCTGCCAGATTTGACCTTTCTAGACTCTCTGGACTGCCTTTTGTTTCTATGCAAAAGTTTTTAAAAAAGATGACTTTCTTCTGTAAGTCTCCAAGTGAGGTTAGTCATCTTGTCAACAGATGTAGAAGCCTCCTTCTGACATCAAAAAATGATCAGAATAAGAAGAGGACTTCCAACCACTTCTGTTGGCGAGCTTCTGCAGCTCCTAGAGAAGGTTCTGGTGCAGAAAATAAGCCCGTGGACCAGTCATGCTAGCCCACTCTGGGTCTAGAGGGCACCGGGGACATATACTCCTATTCTAACCTTCCTGTATAGACAGGGAACTGTTTGATGAAGGTCTGAGTTCTGTATTTACTGTATATATCAGTCAAGTTACGAACTCTTGCTTATCAGAGTTCTTAATCCTGTGGAAATTCTGCAACCGGGTTGTTGTAGGCAACCTTCTGCAAAGAGGACACTTTCAAAATACATAATTATAGCACTGTTGTCCTATTTTCACTGCCACTGGCATCATCCTATGGAATTCTGGGATTAATACAAGGGTTGAATGAAAAATAATGCCTCCACCTTGGTAACTTCTCAACGGATGGCAGTACTGGTATGTGGCAGGTACTGGCTTGTTCAGCAGACTCTCCTTGTTCAATACTAAGGCTTCCTGCCAAGTTGGAACTGTAGAGGAGAGTCTACTGAACAAGCTAGTACCAGCCGCATACCAGTACTGCCATTTGTTGAGGAGTTACGAAGGTGGAGGCATTACTTTTCATTCAACCCTTGTAGTTCTCAAATTACAAACCCAGGATTCCATAAAATGCAGCAATCGTAGTTAAAGTAGAATTATATTGCTTGAATTGCATAGTGTGAAAAGGCCCTATTCCTTTCCCATCAACACTTGTGTAGAAAAACGTGGCTGGATTATATGCCCATGAACTTCCTTTATGTATTTAGGAAAATAAAAAATTAATAGGTGTTCTCCTGTCTGTTGTAACCCTTTTTTAAAAAAATTGAATATTTATTATTTGTTGCTCTTCCTATGTACATTCAAGTCAACCATGACTTATGGCTACCTATCACATGTTCCTTGAGGCACTTGATACACCGGTTTGTCATTGCATTCTTCTTATAGGCTGGATAAGTGTGACTTGCCTGAGATCACCTAATAGGTTTATATGACTGAGTGAGGATCCAGTCCTGGTCATACTGTCTCTTTGATTGATTGTATCAGTGAGAAATCAAATTGAAACAAATGTCAGAATTAAGATAAAGATAACAAAGGAAGGCAGCATATGTAAACAAAGATTCTTTCTGGTTTTAACATATAGTTTGTGATTTGTCTTATTTAGTGGAGACCTTCAGGTGGTTGGCAGTGCCCACTGTACCTTCACCACTGCACAGAAAGCTGTTGGGAAGGATAACTTCACCCTGATTCCAGAAGGAACGAATGGCATTGAGGAACGAATGTCCATCATTTGGGAAAAATGTGTGGTAAGTACTGCAGAAGAAAATGTGTTACCAAATGCATAAGGGAAGAACTTAAGGCCTTAGCAGGATTCATCACCTCATAGTTGACACTGGCTAAACTAATCCTTTTTGAAAGTCCTCCTTTGATAGATTCCACTTTGCGTACTGGTTTGTGTGACCTAGAGAGCTGCTACAGGGTCCCAAAGTATTCTAGACATATCTAGGGCATATTTAGGGGTGCACACACTCTGTCACCCATGACACGACAATGAACTTTGCAATGGATTGTTGTTTTTGATGTAAACTTTATATACTGCTATTGTTGTTGTAGTGTATTTCTTTATATTGTTTTTGTTATTGTTTTGTTGATATGCATTTCAATGTGTTATTTTTTAACTGTTCTGTTGGGCCTGGTGCCATGTAAGCTGCCCTGAGTCCCTTAAAAATAAAGTAGTTATTATTATTATTATTATTATTATTATTATTATTATTATTCATGTGTAACCCCTGAAACAGATTGCCATTGTGAGGTGAGATGAAAGTACAAGCCTAAATATATCCTTCCTTCCCCTTCTTCATATCTAGGCAACAGGGAAGATGGATGAAAATGAATTTGTCGCAGTGACCAGTACAAATGCAGCAAAGATTTTCAACTTTTACCCCAGGAAAGGGCGGGTTGCTGTTGGTTCAGATGCTGATTTGATTATTTGGAATCCTAAAGCTACAAAGATTATCTCTGGAAAATCTCACAACATGGTAAAGAAAAAAAGAAATTTAAGATTTTTATTTCATTCACCCATTTAGAAGTTTCATAATTTATAAAGGGATTGTACAGTGAGGACCCTCCATGGATACCAAAATCCAGGGATAGTCAAGTACTATTATAGACAGTTGCATAGTAAAATGGCATCCTTTCATAAAATGGCAAAGAGCAAGGTTTGCTTTGGGATAATTTTCCCCAAATATTTTCTAGCCATGGTTGATTACACCCACTGATGCTGAATTTGTAGATAAGGATGACCAATTGTAGACATATTTTCTGTTTTGATAAGGTTAAACCTGCTAGCTTTTCCAATAGTTTCTGATACAGTGACTTTAACAGTGTCTTGACCTTCTGGCATCAATGGGTGGGTGGGTGGATGGATTGATGGAGGGGTCGGTAGGTAGTCTACATTTTCTGCAGTTCAAGCTGTTGGTTGTTGTAGGTTTTTCGGGCTGTATGGCCATGTTCTAGAAGCATTCTCTCCTGATGTTTTGCCTGCATCTGTGGGAAGCATCCTCAGAGGTTGTGAGGTTTGTTGGAAACTTGGAAAATGGGTTTATATATCAAGCAGTTGGTGTTGGGTGGAGTTAAATTGGCAGCCTTTGATAGATCCATAGTTGACGTATTGAAGTTCTACTGAGTTCATTGGTGCTCACTATGTACATCCTATGTGCATTTACTTGCAATGAAGTTGGAGTGAATTCAGTTGGATTTTCAAGAACACAGACTTTACAGTGAAATCGAGTACATGAAACTTACTTAATTCAGGAATAAGTGTGCAAAGGTCTTGGGGCTTGTTCTCTTTGCCTGCCTTGTCAGAAGCAAGTCCCACTGTTTTCAGTTGAGAATTGAATCATATGTGAGTTCATACTTTTTATGTGCCTTAAGTCATTAATTGAGGAAAATGGTTATTGAATGTATTTATCTTTTTGTTTGTCTCATGTCCCTTACAATGTGGAGGGCTTTTTGCCTTTCGAAAGTAGTGTTTCCCAAACTCTGGTCTTTGGACTTCAACTCCCAGAATTCCTGGTCATTGACCAAGGCAGCTGAGGCTTCTGAAAGTTGAAGTCCAAACATTAGAAGGCCTAGAGTTTGGGAATCATTAGTGTAAAGCTATATATGTATGCATGTGTTATATACTATTTTATTAGATACGTATTTTACATATGGAATGGTAAGGTGGGACATAGGATGCTCCAGTTCATATTGTTAGTCCATCTAGCTCAGCTGGCAATTCTCCAGGATTTCAGATGAGGCTTTTTCTCATTCCATCTTGAGGAAAAAATGTTCTGCAGCAAAGCAAACTTAGCAGCCTGCCTCCATTCCTCCTCCCCGGAGCATCAGTCTCCGATGTATGCACTGGCCAGATTCCAGATCTGCTCCACATCTGAGATAGAGTCATAGAAGACAACTTCAGGCATTGTAGGATGGGCAGTCTATTCATTATTCATTTTTAACACCTCTTTTTCTGTAGGGAGATTTAGATAAATTCCAGTTCTGATGGACAGTGACTGAAAATGAATCTGGCATTCTGGTGATCCTGGCATGCCCAGAATAGAGGAGGATGCAAAACTCTTTGAATAACAGAGAAATTGCAAGACAGAAAATCTTTCGCTCAGGGGCCTTTTCAGTTCATTGGAATGATAACATCCACTCCACGAAATGAGGAGTTTCTTTCTCTCAGGGCTCATCTGCCTTTCAAAGATTTCTGATACGACTTTCAAAGATTAACATTGCCTAAATGGGATTATATGTATAGCCTAGTTGATGCCTATAATCACTGGGTTGCAGTGGAGAATTTGAAATGATGAGAGATATTTTATACATTTCCCAGGCCCAATGCATCAGGCTAAATCCAATTGTCACCCTAGTTAGAGTAGATTCAATGCAATGAATACACATAAGATACCATGTTATCTAGTCCCATTGATTTCAGGTCTACTGTCCACTATAATTGGGACTAAATTTGGTCCAAGTTACAGTGGACAGGCATGAAATCATAGTGACTATGGAGCCCCCAGTGGCACAATGGGTTAAACCAGTGATTCCCAAAGTGGGCATTACAGCCCCCTGGTGGGCACTGCAGTGATCCGGGGGGGGGGGCTGTATTGGCTGTTAAGTCATTTGCTTTTTTGTTTTTTGTTTTTTTTTTGCATTTTTTTTGCTGCATTATGCTTTTTTTTTTGCTTTTGTCTTCATTTCAGTTGTTGTCTTGTTCTTGTGCTGGATCTTCTTCGTTTTTTTTTTTTTGTTTTTTTGCATTGCAGTCTAATAGATTGCCAGCACACTGTAAGGGGTGGTGAAAGTAAAAAGAAAGAAGAGAAGATTTAGAAAAATTGATTTCCAGGGGTAGGCCAATAAGTTTGGGAACCACTGGGTTAAACCCTTGTGCTGGCAGGACTGAATACCGACAGGTCGCAGGTTCGTATCCAGGGAGAGCGTGAACGAGCTCCCTCTATCAGCTCCAGCTCCCCATTGCGGGGACATGAGAGAAGCCTCCCACAAGGATGATAAAACATCAAAACATCCTTGCAGATGGCCAATTTTCTCACACCAGAAGCAACTTGCAGTTTTTCAAAAAAAAATAGTGATCATGTCAGCTTCATACCCTCACCAAGCAGTGTGTACAGTCCCATTTTGTACATTTTGAAGTTATACACTTTTTTTAACATCACCTGAGAAGATTATGTACATCAGTGGTTCTCAATCTGTGGGTCCCCAGGTGTTTTGTCCTACAACTCCCAGAAATCCCAGCCACTTTACCAGCTATTAGGATTTCTGGGAGTTGAAGGCCAAAACATCTGGGGACTCACAGATTGAGAACCAGTGATGGATATTGACATTGTGACATTGTGTTCCCATTTATCTCTGTCGTCATCTGAATCTATGCAAATATCGGTGTTTCTGTACATTCACCATTCATCTCCCATTGACAACACCAGAATGCCACCTTTTGATACTATGCTTGAGACTGAGTTTCTTTTTCTTGGTTTTCTTAGAATGTGGAGTACAACATATTTGAAGGAACAGAATGCCGTGGTGTCCCTACTGTGGTTATAAGCCAAGGAAAGGTTGTGTTGGAAGATGGCAACCTCTTTGTCACCCAGGGCGTTGGCCGCTTCGTTCCTCGAAAGACGTTCCCTGATTTCGTTTACAAAAGAATAAAAGCAAGAAACAGGGTGAGAACTTTTTCTAATATGAAGCCAATTGCATTTCTGACTGAATATTCCCTTGCATGCAGATACTTACTTAATTCATTAATGGGGTTAATCAAAGCACTGACCGGAACAATTAGGACCATAGGGTTTTCTAGAACTGAAGTATTCAGAAGATTTTAGCCCAAATTTTAGTCCAATTGGATAGACTGCATTAATGGAACTAGATTCAGTGTGACTAACAGCTTGGTTTAGGCCTTTTTAAATCTCACTACCTGTTTTTGAAGATATGGAAAATAAGCAAGGCCTCCATGAATCTTTCAGATCCAATTTTTCAATACCAACCTTGCAAAATGTGTAAGCTTGCATACTATCTTTTCTGTTGCCATTCTTTACATTCCAAAGAAAATAATGAATTGGATCCAGCTTTTGCTTTGAAGTGAACACAAGATTCTTGGAGAAGAAAGAAGAATCAAAGGGAGAATAAAAGCAATGTTCTTCCATTTTAGGACAGTGCTTCACCAAACTACAAATCCCAGGTTTCCAAAGCATTGAGACATGGCAATTAACGTGTTGTCTAAGTGTATTGATTCTTCAGTGTAGAAGCAGTTTTAGCCTCAACTAGATTAGATCAATTAATTCAATAGAACTTAAAATGCTGCTTTAATGTTTTCATTGTTGTTTTTGTCACAGGATGTGCATTTGTAAGATCTTTGGCTTAAACTGTGCAATCTCATGCCGAGAATGGCTTCCAGGAGCTGACATCCAAAACATCTAAAGATTCAGATTTTTCATTTCTTCTTTATTAACATACAGCATGCATAGCAAACTTTCTTCTTTCCTACTCAGAAGACAAGACATGATGATGATCATAAAGTAAATCTAGGATTCTTAGTGGTGGATGAGTTTTGCTCCCTCTGGTGGTCCTGATTTTGAGCAGGAAAATCAGGATCACCAGAGGTCTCTTTACATTTGCAAAGGGCAAAAAGACTTCATTGAAATTAAAGGTTTTCTTCGATGTAACAGTGCAGGTACATAGCAAGAGTCAAATAATTAAATTGTTTTTGTCTTTACTTTAAGGACCAAAACTAGATGATTTCCCCAACTTTTACTTACTTAC